CAGAATCGAGGTTAACAGAACACAAGCTTACAGGTCAAAGCTACAGGAGAAATTCGAATATAGTTCACTTCTTTCTTCTATCTGAAAAAGTTTTTACTGATGATATTCTGTTTGTTCAAAAGAACATTGAAAGCTCCAGCTCAGAGAATGAAACACCACCACCACAAGCTTTTAATTGACCAAACACCAATTGAAATAGATTCACGAACTCATTCATATACGTATACATCTACTACTACTACTACTGTGGTGCGAGCTACTTATAAGTAGTATATGACGTGAGTGTCAACGTAATATGTCTGGCAGCAGAAGATGGGGGAAGATCAAGAAAGGAAGAGTTAGAAGAACACAATGGAATTTGTATGAAACGCATGAACAGTGAGTGACATGTCAGACAATGGATTGATGATTGGTTGAAGATTTGAAAATTAACCGTTTACGATATGGTTTGCCTATTTTACTGAGTAACTCTGTAATTTTCGTTAAATACAATTCGGTTGTCCTCACCTGTGTTCTCCTTCACTACACTACTACTACTACCCTGGATATAATATAGCCAAATCTTGATCAATCATAACATGCGCTCATCATTTGACCCTAAATTTATTCGCTTCGTTGACCTAAGTAATAATGTTAGTGTCATTTTGAACTAATCTTATCTATGTGATCACGTCCAAACAATCTCTCCCTCTCTCCATATATATATATATATATATATATATATAAAGCTTAAATTATGTGCAGTCTTGTTAAACTAAAACACATTAAATTTTCTATTCACCTTTGATTTCATATTCGTTGGCATTTGTCAATAAACACACTTACAGTCGTAAGTTAACTTATTCCCCCAATGAGATATGAAGTTAAATCATCGAAATTAACCGTTTTCAATGTCGCCACTGTATTGTTCTGACAAAGATTGATCTATTTGTAGGACTGAGAAGTTGACATAAGTTGTGACACATCCGATTGGATGGTCAAAAATGTAATTGGATTCATTCAAAATCATGAATTGACTAATTTTTCACCGGTGAACTATTGAATGTCAACTTGATCAAATGTCTGCTACAAAATCTTAAGATCTCGTGTTCAATCATTAGTGTGTCTGTAAATGCACATTGTCAAGGAGTAGTGGTAATCTTACATGCAGACGAAACTAATGTCCAATTGTCCCTAGTTTTCAATCCTTCTTTGACTAAACTTAATCCGTGATGCACAACTATGAAAATTCAACATTTTCCACAAAACACCCTTACTTATACGACCTATAAAGTATTCAAGAAGACTAGGGGCGGCCAGACCAAAACATGGCAGGAATCTATGGATTAATTCATATCGGTAGATATCGACCACCTGGTTGGGGCCCGCGAAATGATAATAATCGATGGTTAGATACCCTGAATGACATGGCTCAAAACTGTTTGCAATGGCGCAGGTGCATTCATTCTTTGTGTTATTTCAAATCCTAACCTTCTGAATTCCTCATCACCCTTGTCTTTTTTCTTTTTAAGTTTCTTTCACTAAATTCTACTTCTTGAATGATATCTTTGAATCCTAATCTCTCCAATTACTGCTAATACCTCTACTGCCTTTACTACTATTGGATTTGAATCGACAATTGCATCTCTGTGTGCTAATGTGTTATGACAACTTGTACACTGATGTACGTACGTACGTACGTACGAAGTTCTACGTTGTTGATTGATTGATTGATTGATTGATATCAAGTATTCAAACTTAATAAAAAGTAAAAAATTAAAAAGTAGTTCCTGCTCCTTCTGATAAGTTTCACGACGAACCCTAACTTAAAATTAGTAAGGTTAAAGCAAAAGCAGGCAGACCAAAGAACACATCACACCGGGATATTGGAGGTGTACATTAAAAAGACTAAATAGCATTATATAACCACGTTCACATCTGAAATCAACCTGGTTTTTTTTCCGGTCCGCTTTTCGTGAGTTTTGATTAGGCGTCGAAGTATTGTCGAGGTTAACGTATACGATACGATATTAGTTAGACTGATTTCTCAGTGATTGTCACAAGATGACTTTTGTCCTGTTTTGTAGACTAGGACAATCAGTGATTGAGACCAGTCGGATGGTACTACTCCTAGTTCCCAGATTCTACCTAAGATCTCAATCAATCTAAATGCCAAAACTGAACCACTATCCTTAAAAATCTGAGGTGTTAACCTGTGGAGGTAAGCTGCTCTTCCTAGCTTCAAAATGCCAATAGCCTTTTCAACTTCGTTAAGTGTTGGAGGACCTACATCAACTTGGCATTCAGGTTGACTGGAGATCGTGGGTAACCGAAGTGTGTTTGACGACCAATTGGACTAATATGGTGGAGAAAACTGGTAGCTCAGGTGGATGATTGTGGTGGTGTTTCGTTCTCCAAGCTGGTTGTCTTGGTTGTGGAGCTTTCATTGTTCTTCTTCTACTGAACAACATCATCAGCACAAACTTCAGATAGAAGAAGTGAAGCATTCGAATTTCTCCACGCGTTAGACCTGTAGCTTGTTCTGCTAACCTCGATCTTGATTGGTTACTGTTGACCTTTGACCTGTCGTTGTTTGGATCCAAACGGGGATGCAATCAACCAACCAATCAAGATCGCGGTTAGCAGAAAAAGCTACAGGTCAAACGTGGAGAAATTCGAATGCTTCACTTCTATCTGAAGTTTGTGTTGATGATGTTGTTCAGAAGGAGAACAATGAAAGCTCCACAACCAAAACAACCAGTTCAGAGAACGAAACACCACCACAATAGGACTGATCCCTAAAGTGTTCCACCCATTGATCCAATCTCCTGGATTGAGATAGTTTCACTTGCAGTCGGATTCCTAATACCGGTTTCCTTGATAAGTATGAATAGCTATCTACTATCACCTATCACAGCTGCCTTTTCCATCTCACTTGCTTACTCTACCCACCACTGTTCGCGATCACGTTTTTCTCCCCAGCTTCATCCGCTCTTCTTCATATGTTCAGAGCCAGACGGGATGAGTTTCACATGAAATCCACCACTTCTCTCTAACCTTATGGTTTGCCTTACTGGTAGATATCACTGCTGTCTCCACAGCTTTTTTCATATCATCCCAATCTGCCTTGGAGGGTAACAGGTGTAAGTCGTTTCTGATTCAACAGAAAGATGCTTGCTTCAATATGATGTTATCAATCTTCAATTTTTTTCTGATTATTGAGTTATAGGTGATTGATTCAAATTAGACACATAAACACCGTTGGATGCAACAAGTTCAGTGGTCTGTAGAGAGGGTTAAGCTTTAGCGTTAGCCATACCGAAAGTTCTAGGTTCAATTTTTCCGTGAGTGGTGGTGGTGGTAGTGGATGTCCACTCCCACTGATGAGTAATTGTTTCATACTAAGACTAAATGGCCGTTCAATGCTTTTGAGTTTCTAATGATGGTCTAACAATGACTGATTCATTATGTTAAATGAAGAAATCTTCCACAACACCTCACAGGATCCGAACCTAGGACCTTTGGTCTTGCGCGCGAACGCCTAACCTCTGGACCATTGGACCGGCATCCAATAGTGTTAATGTCCAACTCTGATCAATCTACAGATTTAGCGAGACCTCACCTATTCCTCTTTGGTAGTTACTGCCTGTGAGGTGCAGAAGTCGTGGATGCTTACTGCCACTGACAAGTAGTCTCATACCAGAACGAAATGGCCATTCAGTGCTTTTGCCAAGTTCCTAATAATGCTGGTCTAACAATGATTGATTGATTGATTGATTGGTTGATTTCAAATGTGCAACAAACACACTAATCTCCATAACTCTAATTTAAACAAAAATGTCTTCATTTTATTTACATTTATGACTTGTATGCTACTACTGTATTGCTGTTATTCACATTTTTTAACTTTTCTGGGCTCTTTTTTCAAATTACCTAAATAATGGGTTGTTTTTCTTTTTACCCTAATTCGGAGTTTTTTTTATTGATTTTTCCTCAATAATTTTATTGATCATCGCCTAGTGTTCATTAAAAAATTGCTTAACTTCAATATTACATAATCATCATTTTGTACCCTTATTGATTGACTGATGATTTCAAATGTGTAAAAAACACTAAACTCCATAACTATGATTGAAAAAATATGTGCTCACTAGTGAGTGACTAGATTCGTGAAGAAATTCTCGGAGTTCTAGTTGAGAAGACCTGACCGGTGGAGTTCAACCCTGTCGAGTGTAGGCAGTAACTAAACTACCAAAGGCAAATGGGTGAGGTCGCACAAAATCAATCAGAGTTCGACATTAACATCGTTTGATACCGGCTCAGTGGTCCCCAGAGGTTAGAGGTTCGCACCCGAGACCGAAGGCCCTGGGTTCGAGTCCTGCGAGTACGAAACGGCCGTCTGAACAGTGCTTCCAGGATTCTAATAATGTTGGTCTAACAATGATTGATTGATGATTTCCAACAAATGTGTCAAACCCTAACGATTGTTACAACATATTTATCACTTTTTTGTATAAACCTATTTTTCAAAAATGTGTAACTTAACAATCTTCACAAGCCCGTAATGCAAATTACCTGTGCTCACTAGTGACTAGCTTCGTGAGGGAGGAATCTTCTCCGAGTTCTAGTGGGAAGACATGACCAGTGAAGTTCATCCTGTTCGGGTGTAGACAGTGTCTACCGAATACTGTGTATATGAGGTTGCGCAACTCCGTGAATTTGATCAAGTTAGACATTAACACCGTTAGATACCGGCTCAGTGGTCTGTTGGTTAGGGTGTTCGCGCACAATACCGAAGGTCCTGGGTTCGAATCCTGCGAGGTGCATGAGTCATGGATGCGCACTGCCACTGATGAGTCCCATACCAGGACGAAACGGTCGTCTAGTGCTTCTTCCAGGTTTCTAATGATGGTGGTCTAACTTTGATTGATCGATACATGGTTTCAAAAATGTGTAACTCAACAATTCTTCACAACCCCGTAATGCATATTTTCGTTTCTGTTTTGTCACTCACTCTATAGCTGGAACACCAACTACTGTTCCATCAGAATCAATCATATCATTAGATGATAAAATTGCACAAATCGCTGGAAATTTATCAATTCGTGATTATAATAATAATTATTACTCATCATCATCATCAACACAAACCAGCCGAATTTATCGTGCTCCAGATGGAAGTTTATCATCGGTGAATTGGTCTGGAACATTACCAATCACCACAATTGCATCGAATCCACATCATCACAACAGTATAACAATGCATCAATCCAGTTCGTTAAATCAACTCGTTGATCCATTTAGTGTAAAGCATCAGCAGCCGCCACAACTGCAACAACCAATGAATTCAACTAATCCATGGGCGACGGCGACATCATCACCATTATCTGGAATTCAGTCAAATGTTGTAAGTTTAAAGAGTTGTAAATCAATTCACTGTTTGCATAACTAAAACTCTCTATTGAACTTGTAGAATAAATTAAGGTTGTTTATAATATTGCTCGACAGATATTACGACGACTTTACCTTACTCGGTAAACAGAACGAAGACCAGTGATACAGGGACACCATAGGGCTAGTCTTATCCGATTGTCCCAGGTCCTGCTGTAGTGAATGAGAACACAGGTGGGGAAATCGGACTGTATTTAACGAAAATTACAGAGTTACTCAGTAAAATAGGAAAACCATATCGTAAATCGTTCATTTGCAAAATATCAATCAGTTCATCATATCGAACTGGACTGTTCTTGTTGCAAAACATCAACAATCCATTGTCACTATTCATGCGTTTCATTATACAAATTCCATTGTGTTCTAACTCTTCCTTTCTTGATCTTCTCCCATCTTCTTCTGCTGCCAGACATTACGTTGACACTCACGTCATATACTACTTATAAGTACCTCGCACCACAGTAAGACATATCCCAACCACCTCAACTGATGAAGTTTCACTGCCTCATCAACTGATCTGCTATCATAACCAAGTACCTTTTTCCTAACAACAGCATTGCTTCTTCGGCGGTCTTATAAGATAAGATGCTTATAAGATACCGATTAGAGAATACTAATATCCTATGAAATGCCTCGCACCTCAGTGGCCATGTTTCAAATCCTCAACGTAGGACGTGGTGAACTGCTGCTTAGTAAACTAGTTATTTGGTTCGAAACCGGATATCTCATTCTATTCAATCTGCTCACTCTGTTCTTGACAATTTCATTTTTATTGTACTTTAGTTATCATTAATCTAATGCACTGACTCTTCATTAAGGAGTCACAACTATAAAGCTATTTATAGAGCTGAAGGTTCCCAATGAGACCCGAGGTTCGTTGTGAATATTGTGGATGGTCTGGCTAGTAAAACTAGCCAAATTTTTTTTCAGGGTCATCGATTTCTACACATTTGAAATCATCAATCAATCATCGTTAGACCACCATTAGAAACCTGGAAGCATTGGACTGGCGTGGGACTCATCAGCAGTGCGCACCCACGACTCCTGCATCTCGCAGGATTCGAACCCGGGACCTTCGGTATTGTGCACGAACGGCTAACCATTGATACTACGGATGGTTGTCTTGCAACAACCCTGTCGATCGTTGTCATCGCGGCTCAGTAATGCATATCACCATTGTTAATAATAGTATGTGCCAGTTATATAGTCGGCATTGATCGAAATGGCCTATTCATGCTGTGCATATTGATTGACGATGCGATCATCGATCGAAAATAAACCACTCTATGCGTTGATGCACATCAGTGTGAATGGCTCATCATGGTGTCAGGTAGGTACCTTTGTGGTGGTTTCGCCACTCTTTACAGTTATCTGGTTCTCTCCCATTGAGGCTAATAGAATTTCAATCTTCCCCTTGATGTTTTACAACTGCAATTGATCAGTCTCGATATTGCCGGAGATGGTGGGTGGCACTCGTCAGTTGAATGTGCCTGTATCCCATAGTGAGTTGTTCACTGTACGGACTTGAACCTCACTACAATAAGTACCGTTTGCTTTAAACGTTATCTCAACGTTAGCCACTTGGCTACTACGTTTAATGCAAGGTTGTCAATTTGTAATTTCATGTCGATTGCAGTATTATAGATCATCCATGTTTTATATATTTCCTTATCTTTTGTTTTCACAGAATCAAACTCCATCTCAATTATTTATGAATCATAATTTATCAAATGGCATAATGATAAACAATCGACCGACCAGTAATAATCCATTTCTTTCCTGATTCATCCTCATTATTATTTAGGTTTTTGCTCTTATTTACTTTTTGAACTGACTTACTACTTCCCATTTGTTTGTTTGTATTCTTTCTCCCTCATATGTGCGCGCGCGCGCCTTCTCTTTCAAATAACCAAAATAGCCCATACTGTCTGTCTTTCTCTCTTTCCTCCGTTCATTGTTTTCTCTTGTCTTATACATTTACGTGTGTGTCTATCTATCTATCTATCTATCTGTCCATCGACTCTTATTTTTGGACGAATAAGAAACGCATATCCTTTCATCATTTTATCTCCACATCGATCGATCCATCCATCCATCCATTTATTGATTAGTCAATTGTTTTCCTGCCCTTCTTCATCGTATATGTGTGTATGTGTGTGTTTATCGTGTGCATGTCCATCAATCAAGAACACATTGTGCTATAATCTAATTAATCCCTATAAAACGTAGCGTAGTCTGTTTATCATTTGAAACTTGAACTATTCTTTCTTCTTATTCGACACACACACACATTTTGGATATCAATATAAATACAGAGACAAACAATGATCATGTTTGCTAATGTTGTTGTGTGTGTGTGCGTATGTGTGTTATGCACTGTATGTATGCAATTAATTGATCGTTTTCTGTCTGATTGAACTTTGTTCGTTGTTGTTCTCTACGAAGATGTTTTGCTCGTTTCTTTTTTTACCTCATCAACTTCAGTCATCTATGCATAAATATCTATATATATAATTAATGTGTACAGTGAATATTCGTGAGACAGACAGGCACTGATATTATCAATATTATTAATCATTTCTATTTTAATCGTATGACAGATATGCACTGATATTATCAATATTATTATTAGTATGTGTATCTCTCTCCCTCTGCTATGTACACCAAAGATTCACAACATGTGTGCTCCTTTTCGTTTCTGCCCTTCGCCCGACCTCTTCATCCTTCGTTTATCTTTAACCAAACCATCCGTGTGTGTGTGTCGCCAGTTGTGTTTGTGTCTTCCCATTTATTCTTGTCATTTTGAATTGGCGCGTTTAGAACTGCTGATTGCTACTACTACTAGTACTACTACTACTACAACTACCCTAGATAGATAGATAGAGATATAAACATTTTTCATGTCTATCCAATTCTGTGGTCTTTCTTTGTTTAACAAATTCACCAATTATTATTATTTATTGTTCATTGAATCTTACCGCATTCACTTCGCTATTGCGCGTGTGTGTTTTCGTTTTTTTGTCACACTGATGAACGAACACTTTCCACTTGTCATGCCTCCTCCTTCTCATCATCACCATCAGATTGATTGATTGATCTATTTATGGCTTTGTGTTTTTTGTCTTTTTTCGTTTCGACAAAAAAGAAAATTTGTTTCTTTTTTTTTTCAGGTGATGTTTTTATTTTTTTTTTGCTTTTTTCTTTTTTTTCTCAAATCAATTAAAACTATTATTATTATCGTTATTATTGATTGATTGATTTGCATTACGGGGTTGCGAAGATTGTTAAGTGACACATGCTTTGAAACCATGAATAATCGATCAATCAAAGTTAGACCACCATCATTAGAAGCCTGGAAGCACTGTTTAGACGACCGTTTCGTCCTGGCATGGGACTCCTCAGTGGCAGTGAACATCCACGACTCCTGCACCTCGCAGGATTCGAACCCAGGGTCTTGGGTATTGTGCGCGAACGCCCTAACCGTTAGATCACTGAGTCGGTATCAAACGGTGTTAATGTCTAACTTGATCAAATTCACGGAGTTAAGCAACCTCATACACAGTCTTCGGTAGTAGTTACTGTCCACTACACCCGAACAGGTTGAACTTCACTGGTCACGTCTTCTCAACTAGAACTCGGAGAAGATTCCTCCCTCACGAAGCTAGTCACTAGTGAGTGAGCACAGGTAATTTGCATTACGGGGTTATGAAGATTGGTAATTTACACATTTTTGAAACCATGTATCGATTGATTGTAAACATGAAAACGGTCAAGTGGGTTGAGCATTGATGGGCAAGACTACTTAATGGTCCTGAGTGTGATTCTTGCTTGTAGGGTCTTCAGTTAGCAATAAGATGGTGACAAGTTTGGTCTGGTGTGCTGTTACGTGTATGAGGGTGGATGTTACTTTCTGGTTGCGGACAACGAGAAGGGATCTGTCCTTGAGGAGCCTGAAATGGAAGTTGGATTAGTGTTGGTCTTGGAGACCTGGAAGTGTGATTGCAGAGCCCAAGGGACAACTGCTTGAGACCGGTCATGCACGACCTTCTTATTGGAAGAGGGCTTGCAGTCAGAGACGGAAATCCGTGATATAGGGTGAAGTGTGACAGCAGATGCTGGTTGTCCGAGAGAAACACCTTACTGCTGTCACACCCCTCTACAGTTAGCAGTACGACATCGCCCTTAGACCTTGAGTAGGTGCTTTTAGTCTCATTGTTCTCTAGTCGACCTGCATGGGTATGGTAGAACATACAGGAATAAATGTTCCAGCCAATATAGCTCGGTTGGGTCATCTTGTTAGGCTAGCCCGGCCACCACGTCAAGGTAGCATCTACAGAAGGGTTTGTAGGGTAGTCCCCATAACGAATCAAAAAATAGGTCATAATAACTAACTTCTAATCTGAATGAGAGAATCAAGTTGTGTAGATGAGCGATTTTACATCGTAGTGCTAGAAGTTTCCTACTTATTTCGATAATTATGAGAAATACTAGCGAATCAATCTTGGGATTACTGAAGAGATCCTAAACAAATAGATCAGTGATTTCTTGGTATATCGGGCGGGAATAGGAAGGAAACGAATATAAATGATTGATATTCTTTGTGGAAACCGTAGGGTTGCTGTTCAAATCGTTTTACTTTTTGCACGATTTTTAAATGAACTCCCGTGTATCTTTGAGTTCGTGATGATGTGGAAATTTGGTGAAAACTAACGAAGCATGCAAAAATGTATGTGCATTTCTAGTTAGCTAGTCTGAACATTAGGCATACAACAGTGAACAAGTAATGTATTAGAGAAAAGTTAATATGTGTAGTACGGTCTCACAATGATCCGGGCTTTGGAACGGCAGTAGCCCCAGAAGGGCTCCAGGAGGTGAAGAGGATCAGTGTAGCTGCAACATAAGTTTCAACATGCACAATGGCAAAAACAATATTCTCCTATGCACAAACTAAATCACACTTGACGCTGGACCTTTAAAAGATGTGAAAATCTTTTTTCATATTGAGGCAGCAAAATTGATGAGGAAGATGGATCTGATACAGATATGAAGGCGCAGATCGGCAGAGCGAAAATTGCATTTCTACAGTTAAACAACATCTGGAACTTAAAACAACTTATCAACCAACACTAAAATCAGAATTTTTTAATACAAATATCAAGACAGTTCTATTGTATGGTGCACGAATTTGGAAAACTGAAAAAGCCATCATCCAGAAGATTCAAGTGTTCATTATAACAGCTGCTATCTACGCAAATTACTTCGGATACGCGCTGATCAAACAGTATCATTAACAACTAACCTACTGTGGTAGAAAACAAATCACTTTCTAGCAAAGGATGAAATCAGACAGATGCACAGTCACCTGGAATCCTCAAAGCCAACGTAAAAGAAATAAGGCCAAGAAACCACATGGAGACAGACACACAGAAATTGAAAGTAATGTAGTGAAGGAGAACACAGGTGAGGGCAACCGAAATGTTTTTAACGAAAATTACAGAGTTACTCAGTAAAATTGGAAAACCATATCATAAATCGTTCATTTGCAAAATATCAATCAGTTCATCATATCGAAGTGGACTGTTCCTGTTGCAAAACATCGTCAATCGATTGTCACTATTCATGCGTTTCATCATACAAATTCCATTGTGTTCTTCTAACTCTTCCTTTCTTGTTGATCTTCCCCCATCCTCTTCTGCTGCCAGACATTACGTTGACACTCACGTCATATACTACTTATAAGTAGCTCACACCACAGTAGTATAACTAAAACATGAAATATCAATTTTACTTCTGAGTTCCACTCACTATTAAGACTGTTGTATGCATGCATACACTATACATATCACATAATATGACTAATAATAAAATAAGTAAAAGAGGATGACTAATTCTATCTCAAGCTGTGTATATGTCTAGTCTAGACAAATGACCTGTTAATATAAAGAAATTGGTGTGTCCTGCACTCTACTATGAATGTCTGTGTGTGTCTGTTGTAAGTGAGTGCTTTCAATCTCAACAAAATTTAATTGATGTTCAATCGCTAGTTCATTGTTCAATGTCAAATAACAATAATAATGATAATAATAATACAATTACAATTCTTGTCTTTTCTATACTCACAAGAAATTGTATATCTCTGTGACTATACAAAAATATACTTCAATCTGTTTGAAATAATAATAATATAAATGAGAAATTGATGTGATATGATAACATTTGAAATTACAAAGAATGATAGTCTATATTTTTTTTTAATTAGAGTTATGGAGATGAGTGTTTTGTTCAAACCTGTCGGGTGTAGACAGTAACTACTACCAAAGATAAATGGGTGAGGTCACGCAAAATCTGTAGATTGATTAGAGTTAGACTCTAACACCGCTGGATGCCGGTCTAGTGGTTCAGAGGTTATGAGTTTGCGCGCAAGAATAAAGGTCCTCAGTTCGAGTCCTGTGAGGTGCAGGAGTCGTAGATGGGTATTGCTGATGAGTCCCATACCAGGATGAAACGACAGTCCAGTGCTTCCCGGTATCTAACGATGGATACCGGTTCAGTGGTCCGATGGCTAGGCGTTCGCGTACAATGCCGAAGGTCCCGGGTCCGAATCCTGTAAGGAGCAGGAATTGGGGTTGCGCACTGCTGATGAATCCCATACCAGCAGAACGAAACGGCCGTCCAGTACTTCCAGGTTTCTAATGGTGGTCTAAGAATGATTGATTGATGATTTCAAGTGTGCAAAAAAACACCTACAAAACTCTGCCCCAAAATATCGTAACAGTGCTCAATAGTGACTAGGTTCGTGAGGAAATTCTCGGAGTTCTAGTTGAGAAGACCTGACTAATGGAGTTCAACCCTGTCGGGTGTAGGCAGTAACTACCAAAGAAGAATGTGAGGTCGCGCAAAATCTGTAGATTGATCACAGTTAGACATTGACACCGCTGGATGCCGGTCCAGAGGTTAGGCGGTAGCGCGTAAGACCGAAGGTACTCAGTTCGAGTCCTGTGAGGTGCGAGAGTCGTGGATGGGTATTGCTGATGAGTTCCATACCAGGACGAAACGAGAGTCCAGTGCTTCCTGGTATCTATTGGTGGCCTAAAAATGAGAGATTTGTTTTCAGTTAGCTAGATGATTATTGGCTGAACACATATCTAAACAATGCTA